GGAAAAACACTCGCATCAAATTTAACATTTCTGCTCACTAAAAACTTATCTTCCTCTGTATTCCATAGTTAGTATCCTCTCACACCTTCGGGATATCCTATAAAAACATATTCTTGAGCACGCTTTCCTAGCTTTCATTTCTGCAGCATTTTATCAATTTGAGCAAAAACTCGATAGCCAAATATTCTCAGATGACTAATCTGCACAGGCTTCTTGGTCCAGAATTCTTCAGGTATGTTTCCTTCGGTAGCTTTTGATGGAAACTTGTTGCTCAAATAACGGGCAATAGTTACAGTATCTGATCACAATTCTTGTGGGATGTTGGAATTTATCTAGTCATATCAAATAGAGTATGGTTCATTTTTTCTGCAACTCTGTTTTGTTGTGGTGTCCAGGGAAGTGTGAGTTGTCTTGTTATTCCATTTTTAGTTAGGAAATCATCAAATTCATTGTTGACATATTCTCCTCCATTGTCGCTTCGTGGAATAGTGATTTTGAGTCCATGGAAATTTTGAACATTTGTTTCTTATTCCATGAATTTTTCAAGGACTTGATCTTTAGATTTCATAATTTTTAACCACAGCATACCTTGAGTAGTCATCAGCAAAGAAATTTTGAACATTTGTTTCATATTCCATGAATTTTTCAAGGACTTGATCTTTAGATTTCATAATTTTTAACCGCAGCATACCTTGAGTAGTCATCAGCGAAGGTAATGACGTACTTTGATCCACCTTTTGATGTAGCTCTGATAGGCCCAGTTACATCAGCATGTATCAACTGAAGTAATCTAGTTGAACGTTCAACTTTTTCCTTGGGAAATGGAGTCTTCTTCATTTTCCCAAAACACATATTGAGCAAACAGTCTCCTTTTCTTGGATTCCTTCACACATCATATTCGAATCATCCCTTTTCATAAGGGATGATTCTTTCCTTCTTAATTTCATCATGGTGGAAATGTCCTAATCTTCGATGCATAATTTCTTCATGTCTGAAAAGGTATATTTCGTGTGTTTGCTTCTCTTCAATTTTGTATAAATTTCCATAAATATATAGAGTGAGGATGACCTTATCTTGTTGTCTTGATCTTTTATGATTGCTTTGCCCCTCTCAAAGGAAACAGTCAGTCATTCCCATATCTTCTATTCTTCCTACTGAAAGAAGGTTACCATCAAGCTTAGGGACATACATAACATTTGCCAGGTGAATAGCATCATTCTCTGACAGGATTCAAAACAATGTCTCCCATGCTAGAAACTTCAATTTTTTTTCAGAATCGGCTATCTTGTGATTTCACTAAAGCTAAATTCATAAATTTCTGCTCTTGAGAGACAGGTTTCTCACCGCAAGTATCAACAAACAGTGCTTGATATACTTCATTAGAAACCATTTTTGCGTGTGTAGTTTTAGCAGCAGAGCAATTTTTGGCAGTATGACCCCACTCCCCACAAGAAGAGCAATGGGTTTTCTGTCAGTATTTTTATGCTGCTTCTGTAACAGCTGCAAAGTTTTAGTTTTATACTTATCTTGAGTTTTGAGGGCTTTCTCTTCCATGACCTTACTGGTAGCAACTTCTGATGTCACTTCTGTGTAATGCAGTAACTTCTTCTCTTTAACGATGAGACGTGATTTTACGATTTGAGTTGACAACGTATCTTCATGTTCTAAATTGAGGATGAGGCCTTCGTATTCCTTGGGCAAACGCATTAACATAATGAGGGCAACTTCTCTGGCTGCAAGTTTATGTCCGCAAGATGATATCTTTTGACGAAGGTCCATCAATTGACTTAGATCAGAACTGATATTTTCTCCTGGTTTAAAGTTACATTAAAAAATTCCATTAAAAGTTGTAGAGAATGCAAGAATCCGAATTTCGTATAGATATCTTTTAAAGTATCCCACGCTTCTTTCGCAGTCAGCTATGTCATCTAAGAACTGGTCTTCAACCACTAAGAATAGGAAGGTTAAGGCTTTCTCATTAATTTTCTTTTCATCATTGTTTAATTCAGCACCGTAACCTGGATCAATCGCTTCCCAACAATTTTTTTGAACTAAAACAGCTTGTGCTCAGATTTACAAACATTATAATTATCTCCATCGAGTTTCTGAATCTTAATTTTTTTCCATCCGGTCATTTTCAACATGTTAGCCTTAGCTTCACCAGTGCTATGGATGTTGCTTCTTTTTCTTTTGGAAAAATTAAAATTTCTTCTTCATTTCTGCCAAATAAATTTCTTTAGAGCATATTGTGCTGGTAACATGATAGAAATCACTTAATGGCAGATATATTTTGTAATATAGTAGAAAAAATAAGCAAATCACAAATGCATGTTACATGTTTATTAACCTGACTAATGAAACTGTTGCCATTCAGCAAAAAACAAAAAATGGGTTACGCATGAATATTAAGGAACATAGTGTCTATAATTATAGCACTGCATTGGCAGATACAACATCAGAAAAATAAAATATATTTCTAACAGTAAATCCACTTTTCATCGCAAGTGACGATCCGGTCCAGAATTTCCTCCTTGTGTTGATATTCGAGCAGATTAGTGCAGGCCGGAGCACGTCTCAACTCAGGCGGCACCCAGCAATTGAACTTATATGTCAAGCTTATGCGATGCACAGTGAGACTAATGGAAGTGGCACTAACGTCTGACTTAGCAAGCTCTCGAGTGGTTGCATACTGATCTTCTTCCGGCCCACCAGCGGCCGAGCGGCAAAATTGCTGAACACTGGTAGTTCGAACCCCGCGAACGGGCTGGCTGCATGGGCGTTTTCATGGTTTTCTCCATGTGTGATGTGTATACGAGCCAGTTTCCCTTAGAAAGTCCTCCGCGAAGGCATCCCTTCCCTTAGGCAGATAGCCCTAGTGTGCTTTGCCATATTCACGATACACACACACTGATCTTCTTTCACAAGTTCTCGCAGGTGAGCACATCAACATGAGTAGGCCGGTCAGAGCACTCTGCTTCTTGAATGTCATAATCCTTGTTTTTAACTTTCATAACAAACATTTACAGTGTCATATGATACAACATTAGTACTTTAATGATTTGGTAACATTCTATAGCTAATTTTTGAATCTGGTAGTGTGATAAGTTGCATTTCAAACACCTTAATGAGAATATTTTTTTACAAATTTCACAATACTGTGTTCTAAAGCAAGTCTGTTTCTTTCAAGTATCAAAAACTATTTGACAAAATATGATTAAACATGCCAAAGTGAACTGTTTGGGCAGACAGTATTTGTAATGGTGGGAAACTTTCATTAAAACTCGATATAAATGGATACGTATGCACGCATTTAAATGTGTATCTACAAAGTTTAAGGACTGAAATATGTCAGTCCTAATAGACTTATCAAATTAAAATCAATGGCAATGATTATTAATGTGTATCAATTTTTATTTTTTAAAAACTGTTTTCTTTTGAAAAGAAAGTTAGAATGGAATTTTTTGTACAAGTTTATCTCACTTTTCTGACAGTAACATCAGAACAAAGCTATGAAATTCATCATGGCAAGGAGAGCAAGATAATGCCTGCCATTGGCAACAACCTTGAGCACCATATAGGGACAGAGCGATTTCATTCAGTTCTGCTTGCATTTTTGATGGAGTACCCTGTGGGGGATGGGTCCAAGGAGCTCTCACTCCTCTTGTACTACCAACCTCTCGAGAGGACTTTGAGCTCATCATATATTTAGAGTGCCCCCATACTGCAAAGACACTATACATTTACATAACACACTTTGTAATCGGAAACAGTCTGTATTAATTTTAGAGAGCTATTAGGTAGCTAGTCAAATGATGTCAAAATCAAGCATTATCTACCAGCTGCAAAAATTTAAATATTGGCTATATAGATTTTTACTTCTTCTCATAAAATGCTATTTTTTATTATCATTTATGAACAAGGGAATTCTGATGAGCTGTAGAAATACCCACACAGATATTTCTTGCCAATTCACAAAGCTGTGAATTAGTCTGTGACTTTTTATGGGAGTGTGGATAATCAGAAAGTGCATAATTTGTTATGCTCGCCTTGTGTTCTTTGTCAGACAGATTTTTGTTTATTTACTTATGCCATTCATTAAAATAAAAGCGTATTTATTGTACGTGTGATTTACTCTGCCTTTCTGATTTTTCATACTTAACATATTACATGCTTTCACAACTTAACATATTACATTAATACTTATCAGTCTTAAGCTTTGGAAAATATTTTCTCTTCATGCCTAGTTATAATGATTGTCACTGCTTTGAGTCTATATCCTATTGCATTTTTCATTAGTGAAGTTTCTTTTGAAATCCATGCTTTTAAATATCTTCTATATGTTAAAGATATCTTAGGCTGAATACAACTTAGTATAAAAGTTTACACAATATGAAAACTTTTGAAAGTCAGATAAATATAACTTTTTTGTGCTCTGCTGTAGTTAGTTAATCCAATTCAGCTCAGCTCAATAAAATTGATTTTTTTTCCTTATCTGATTTTATTCAGTGGTGCACAATGAACAATCGTTCAATCATCATTTATCCCTTAAGTGTCTACCAGTAGCTGAGTAGTAAATTTGCTGAACACTGTTTATTCGATCTGAGTTTATGTTTCAGGTGAATGTGCTGCCTGCATGGGCTTTTCATGTTTTCCCCCCCCCCATGTGTAATGTGGATATGAACTGTTTTCTCAAGTCCTACTGAAAAAATCTATTTTCTTAAGCAGATAACCCTAGCATGCTTTACCTTAATCAACTAAACCAAACCATTTATCCAATGATGCAAAATATTTAACAATGCTAATTTTTGCAACTAATTTTATTTTTGTATGTAACTTATTTAATTTTTATATGCATTATTATATGAAGTTATTTTCAATTGCTTATGTTACTGACTGAAGAATTTCTTTGCATTGCAGCTTATTTTAATTCTTCATTTTATTTTGCATCTGCATTTTAATTTATGATGTAAAATAATTTCTTACAAACATTTTTTTTTCAGATTAGCAAAAACAACCATGGCCACTACACAGTCTCCACCAGCTACAATGCCGAAGTACATTCGATTTCTTTTTGGTGGACTTGCTGGGTAAGAAAATGTATTGTTAGAAGTAATTTGCTTCCTTTTACTTAGAATTGGGCAAAATACTAATAACTATTTAAAGAAGTGTATTTCTTAATGAGAAGTATTTGAGAAAGTATTTTTGTACAAAATATCAAGTTATTCAAGATTAAAAATATAAATACAAGGTAACCAAAAACGTTCTTGCCATTTCTGATATGGCATTGGAAGAGTGAACCCTATCATAAAAATAGTCGCCAAACCTGGCGATGAAGTGGTTAGGGAGTCCGGACATTGACCAAGAGTATAAAAGCGCGTTGCATCGGTACTTCAAACATAACTCATACAGCAACTGATTGAAATGAATGTGTCAAAGGCGCGCTCGTTCAGAGTTGTTTGTGTATGATTTTAAAGTGGGCCTATCAGCAGCAGAATCAAGTAGCCGAATTTGCTAGGTCTTTGAGGATGATCCTGCTAACGAACGAACCACTAGGCAATGTTTCCAGAAGTTTAAATCAGGTGATATGTCACTTAGTGATGCAGCGGTTAGGCCCAAGCGCTGGACGGTGAGGCCTTGAGAGCAGCTATAAAGAGTGACAGCAAACCAAACATGTGATGAGCTTGCTGCACACTTCCAAGTATTTGATAAAATAATCAGATTCCATTTGTAGTGCATAGGAAAGGCATACAAGCTGAGCAAGTGGGCACTCTTCTCACAGTATCACTGCCTATTTGTCATTGCTTACTCAGCACCACAATGCATCCATATTTGATCGAGAACTCACCAGTGATAAAAAGTGGATCCAGTATGACATACCCACGTGTTCTAGATGGTTGTCACCACGGGACCCTGTGCTTCATGCTGCGAAACTTTCTCTCCACCCACGCAAGATCATGCTCTATATCTGGTGGACTAGTTGGCAAGTGGTGCACTAATGGGCCTCTGCCAGTGGGCCAAACCATCACGGCAGGCCTGTACTCGCAGCAGTTGGAATGAGTGCATCGGGCACTGATGCATAAAGAGCGAGCATTGGTCAATCCTAAGGGTGTACTCCTCCTCCATGACAATGCACGGCCGCATGTGGCTCGGGAGGCCAGGCATATCATCCATTGATAGGGCTGGAAGACACTATCCGATCCACTATACTTTCCAGACATCGTGCCAACAGACTACCATCTTTTCCATTCCCTGGACAACTATCTTCATGAGAAATCCTTCAACAACCGGCCGGACCTTGAAAAGGCCTTACGGACTTCTTTGTGTCCAAGACTCGTGAGTATTACCACAATGGCATCGCACAGCTAGCCACTCGTTGGCAAAAGGCGCTGGACACCGATGGTGATTACGTTGAGAATAAGCGGTGATTAGTATTTGTTTTATGACTTTTTCTTTCTGACTGTCCAAAACGGCAAGAACGTTTTCGGTTACCTTGTCTTTTTGCCGTACGAGACGAAGTTGTACGCATCATTTGTGAACTCCTTGTATATTGGATTATAAATTGCTGTTTCCTGTGTTAATCAGTGCTGATTATTATTTGTTTTTTGACTTTTTCTTTTCTGATGCTCTAAAACGGCAAGGATGTTTTTGGTTACCTTGTATAATTAAAAATTAGTTATAGATTTTATTCATTTGTAAATGTAATTTTTAAAAAGGTATCAAATCTCTAAATAACTTTTCATTTCACCAGTAATTAAGCTATTTTATTTTTTACTTTCATGTTAAAGCTACCACTACATGACTATTTGACAACATCTGAAATTTGTATACCATAGTTTAGATGCCTAAGTTTGCTAGTTTTGGCAATTAAGCATGGTGGCCTTTTAACTAGGAAGTACCTTTATTTTTCACTTAGTGTGCAGCCATATATGTATATCTACAGTAAAAAGTCTGGTAAATCCTAGGTTTTACTGGTAAAACCTAGCTTTTACCAAAGTGGCTTCGTAAAAGTTCGAAGTATACTTTAAAATGTTTCCATTTCAGACTTTTACCAAGCCTTTGCGGTAAAACCTCAGAGTTTCCGCCTTCCGGTAAAAGTTTGAAATGAGGAATTTAAATTGATCTTGAATAAGCCTGGGCAGGCAAATTCTGCCGCAATACTTTTCTGTTCCTGTCCCTCCTTATATGTACCATTTGCAGTCAAGCTACAAGATAATTCAAACATGTGTAGGTAGCTACGATATAAAATGAAAGCAGTTTGTTTCTATTTTAACATATTTTCCATTTTGCATTTTGCTGAAAGAAAATGAGAGATGTTATGTGGAAAATGTTTTACGACATTTTGTCTGAGTCTGTAAAAAATAGCACATGACAGTTTTTATTTAGCAAATGAGAAATACACTTTTTTTAATAAATAATAAATAAAGGAAAAGAAGCAAAATGTGTGAAGGAAAAACAAACAGTTCATTACAGAATGCTGAAACACTATAATATTCTAAATATTGGAGGAGAGAACAAGCTTGTAGCACCACTATCTGCAGGAAAAGCAGAAACCCTATATCATGTTACAATTGATGAAGTTTTCAACATCATACACAATGCTTATATCGCAGTTAGCCATGGCAGAAGAACTCATATGCTTAAGAAGCTGAATCATAAATACAAGAATGTAACAGTAGAATCTATCATGAGATGTTTGAGACTATAAGAACTATGTCAATAAAAAACAAAATACTGTTAAAAAGGTGATCGTAATCAAACCACTTCTGCACAACGAAATGAATTCTTGATGCCAAGTTGACTTAACAGATATGTAGTTCAATCCTGATCATGATATGAAATTCCCTTTAGTGTATTAAGATCATCTTACCAAATTCGTCCTACTCCATCTGCTACTTTACGTAGTAAAAGAGCTGATAAAGTAGCATATCACCTTCTGGATATTTTCACAACTTTTTTAACCCCGAACATTCTCTATTCCAGAAATGGGAAAGAATTTTGCAACAAAATCATAAACAATTTATGTGAAATGTGGAGTGGTATAAAAATAGATCATGGTAAATCGAGACACAGTCAATTGCAAGGTTCTGTCGAACAGGCGAACCAAGACGTTGAGAACATGTTAGCAACATGGATGGAAACAAGTAAGACAGAAAAGTGGCCGGAAGGATTAAAATTTGTTCAAGCAATGAAAAACGAAACATATGATGAGGGAATCAAATGTTCACCTTACAAAGCTATGTTTGGTTGTCTTATGAAGCTGGGACATACTAATTAAGTTTTGTCATGTAATTTGATTAGGAACATGGCCACCAAAGAGGACTTCAAAAAATTATAAATATTAATAATGAATGTATGGTTAATACAGAAGATGAAGGCCCTAATCTCAAATCAACAGTTTGATTTGAGATTTTGATTGGGGGACGTCACGGCACGCAATGAACTGGAAGTTGATCTGTCAGCACTATCGTTATCTTCAGGGCAGATGTTTTTATTTTATTCGGCTTATAATTCCTTACTAAATGTGTATTTCATCTCGAGTACTCCATCTTTGATATGATTTAAATCAAATTCTTCATCATTATAAATATCACGAATACAAATCAAATAGTTTTCTGGTTGCAATTTTCTAATTTCGGCTATGCGTAATGTATGCTTTAAGCATGCACGCGTTGAAAGTAATGTTTAATATAGTAAACAAATAAACATTAAGCTTCTTTTTTTGTAAATTTTGATACCCTTTAGATCATAATTGCTCATTATTATATAAATTACGGTTTCATATTTTTAATTTTATAATTTCTGCATGGCATCTTACCAGATTTAAACTGATGCTCTATAATCCGGAAAAATCAATAATCCGGAATCGCCGAAGTCCCGACGAGTCCGGATTAAAGACTTTTGACTGTAATAAGAAGTATTAAAGAAAAATGTAAATTTTTTTTGTTTTAAAAAGTTTATAATTTTTAGCTTGTAGGGTATTATATAGCCAAGAACAGCTATTAATTTCATTTTGGCATTTTGCGATGAAAACATTAAAAGGCTGTATCACTTTTCAAATTGTTGCCACTAAATATTATCGCCCTGTGTTGTATTTAAAGAAAATAAAATATGAAGAGTCTGCATAAATGTTTGCATGTTTCTCGCATTGTGATAAAACAACACTACCTAGGGCGATCAAATTTTGGATAGCGTATTCCTCCACCCGAAGATAATCTGGAAGCCCTAATTTGGAATTTGTTTTATTATCTATTTCATATTTTGTAAACGTTAATGAATTTTTGATCAACAATCTCGATGATTTCAAAGTGAGCAGTGGCAACACTGTACAAAAAAAAAAAAAAAAAAAAAAAAAAAAAAACATTTTTATTTCCAGCTATGGTTTAAGTACAAAGAATATGATATTTAATAAATAAAGGTAATGCACAAAACGTTAATGAAAAGGTCCTTTGAGCAAAATATAAAATCTGAAAACTTTCAGGTTTTTTTTAATTTTCTATTAATTTATTTAATTTTTATTTATTTATATTTATATTTTTTTTGACCTATCAATTTAATTTTTTTAACTATTGCCAAAATTATTGAAATCTCTTCAGTAGTTATCAAGAGAATTGTGCATTAGTTCAGCTTTTTCACATGGGATCCTATTTTTGAAACAGCATAAATATTGCATTTTAAAATTTTTATTTCTTGTGACTGTTTGAAAAAAAATTGTAAGACAATTCCATCGACAAGAATCTTAAATAATACCTTATTTTGATCACTTTTACAATTTATATTATCAATTAAAAAATTAAAGTGTGTATTAACTTTTTTGGGACACATTGTATACAATGTATCTGAATAGAAAATTCTATCATAAGCTATCATAAGTAATCCCTCATTTCGGGCTTTTACTGGAAGTTATTGGAGACTCCTAGGTTTTACCACAAAGGCTTGGTAAAAAGCCGAAATGGAATCATATTAAAACATACTTCAGACTTTTACCAAGCCGCTTTGGTAAAAGCTAGGTTACCAGTAAAACTGAGGATTTATCATATTTCGGGTTTTTACCATAATAGGAAATTATGAAGTGTGAAGTGAAATTTAG